CACAACCACTAAGATGGCTGGTTGGGATTGGTTACGAGGGTTTCGGTCTAGACACCCCGATATATCCCTTAGAAAACCCGAGTCCACGTCTGCAGCAAGAGCGCAATCATTCAACAGGACGCAAATTGCCAATTTTTTCAAACTTTTAGAGGATACTATTACAAATAACAAAATTAATCCTACACGCATATGGAATGTGGATGAATCAAGCCTATCCACGGTTCAAAAACCCGGCAAAATATTTGCAACCAAGGGTCGGAAGCAAGTGGGCCTAATTAAAAGTGCGGAAAGAGGGCAGCACATAACGATGGTTGCTTGCATTAGCTCAGTGGGGAATTATGTTCCACCAACACTTATATTCCCCAGGAAAAATTGGAAAAAAGAATTAATAGATGAAGCGCCTTTAGGAACTTTAGGAATAGAACAGGAAACAGGATGGATGACAGGCGAAGTGTTCCTAACATGGATGAAACATTTTAAAGAATATTCTAATCCTTCTATAGAAGACAAGGTTATGCTGTTGCTTGATGGGCATGCGAGTCATAAAAACATTAATGTTTTAGCTTTTGCCAAAGAACATGGAATAGTGATATTGTGTTTTCCGCCGCACTGTACCCATCGTCTACAGCCGTTAGATGTATGTTTCTTTGGTCCATTAAAGAGCTACTATGATCAAGTAGTTACCAAGTGGATGAAGTGTCATCCAGGCAGAACAGTTTCGCAATATCAGGTTGGAGGATTATTTGCTACAGCGTATGGAAAAGCAGCTACACACCAAAATGCCGTTAGTGGATTTTTAAAGACTGAAATTTGGCCCCTTAATCCCGACATATTCCCTGATTATTTATTTAATCCTCCCAAAATAACAGATATTCAAGAAGAAGTTGCAAGTCAACCCCTAACAGAGTCAAAAGAAGAGAATGTTAATGTTTTGCGACATCAAGATTTTCCAGATCAAGGAAACAAACCGGTTTCTACACCTAGACCAAACTCACTTGAAAGTTGTTCTTCAATTAATCCTGGTATTCGTCCACTTGACATTTCACCTCTTCCATCGTGTTCAGGTGTCCAGTCACGCTCCAAAAAAAGAAAATCAGAAGGAACAAAAACTCTAACGGCTACCCCAAATATGAAAGAACAAAAAGCCAAAGCACTCGAGAAGCGAGCTACAGAAAAACGTCAAGCTGCAAAGCGAGCAATTAAGAATCTGACCTTAATGACACAAGATCGAGAGGAGGAAACAAAGACCATTGTGTCAGATGATGACGAAGACGAAAATAATCCTCCATGTTTATATTGTAACAGTTTGTACTCCCATTCAAGGTGCAAAGAATTCTGGATTAGGTGCCAAAAATGCTCAAAATGGGCACACTGTGATTGTGCTGGTATCTCAAAATCGTGCAAAAAATTTATTTGTGAACTTTGCTAATTTAGTTTATATGACATTTTATCCATGTGAGTGTGTCGTTTTAGCCGAATATACTTGGATAAAATGACATAGCAACGTTTGTTTTGTTTCCTTTTTTTTAATTAAAAAATATTGTGTTGTTAGAGTTTTATGTTTCATGATCTGTTCTACTTCCAAACAATGAACAACATTTATGTTTTTTTAAATTTTTATTAAAAAAATAAAAAAGTTATTGGACGACAAAAAAGTAGTATGTCATTTTAGGCCAGGTTCCCCTATATAGCTGTATGTTTAATATTGATGGAAAGTATTGTTGAACAAAAATCAAAAGTGTCGGATGTATAATGTATATGCCCTGAAGTATGTGTTAAACAGAAAAGACATTCATTCAACTTACGGGAGATGCAATATTTATAGGTACTTGTAATATTGTGTAGGTACATTAAATTGAACGCTGTGATATATGTGCATAAAGTTTAATAAGTACGAATGTAGTTTTAAATATTAATTACTAGATTTAGTTTTAATTCTTCTTCTTCAGGTGCCATCTCCGCTACGGAGGTTGGCAATCATCATAGCTATCTTAATTTTTGAGGCAGTAGCTCTAAATAGTTGTTTTGAGCTGCATCCAAACCATTCTCTCAGGTTCTTCAGTCATGAAATTCGTCTTCTTCCGATGCTTCTTCTGCCATCTATTTTTCCTTGCATTATGAGTCGCAGGATGCCATACTTATCGCCCCGCATCACATGTCCGAGATACTGTAGCTTTCTTTCTTTAATTGTAAGTTCAATTTCCTTCTCTTTGCCTATTCTTCTCAGTATTTCATTGTTTGTAACTCTATCTACCCAGGAAACCCTCATAATTCTTCTATAGGTCCACATTTCAAAGGCGTTAAGTCGTCTCATGGTATCTAGATTTAACGTCCATGATTCCACTCCATAATATAGTACACTGTATACGTAACATTTTGTTAGGCGTACTTTAAGAGCTAATGTTAGATCTTTGCCACATATGACCTTTTTCATTTTTATAAAATTAGAACGTGCTTTTTCGATTCTGACTTTGATTTCTGCCGTGTAGTCATTATTTTCTGTTATAAGTGTTCCTAGGTAAGTGTACTTTTTTACTCTTTCGATCTGCTGGTCCTCTACTATCAAGATTTCGTTAGTATTATAGTTGTTTTTACAAATTTTCATAAACTTCGTCTTTTTGACATTAAGAGAGAGTCCGTACTCCCTACTACACATGACTATTTTGTTCGTGAGTCTTTCCAGGTCTTGTAAACTCTCGGCTATTATTACTGTATCATCTGCATATCTGATGTTGTTAATTAAGACTCCATTTACTCTTATGCCGACTGTTTCATCTTCCAGAGTTTCTCGAATTACCTCTTCAGAATAGGCGTTAAATAATAGAGGTGATAGAATGCAGCCTTGCCTGACTCCTCTCTTTATTTCCATTTCTTCAGATGTTTCTTTTTCGATTCTTACTATTGCTCGCTGATTGTAATAGAGGTGTGTTATTAGCCTTAAATCTCTTTCATCTAGGTTTTTATTTTTTAGAATTTCCAGGAGTCGATCATGTTTTACTTTATCAAACGCTTTATTGTAGTCTATAAAACAGACGTAAAGAGGGCGGTTAACATTCAAACATCTCTGTGTCAGCACATTGAAGGAGAATAATGCCTCTCTGTTACCCATGCCATTGCGGAACCCATATTGAGTGTCACTAATATCCAGCTCCAGTTTAGAGTGTATTCTGGCGTGGATAATTTTCAAGAGAATTTTCAAGGTATGTGACATTAAGCTTATGGTTCGATAGTCACTACACTCTTTGGCATTCACTTTCTTTGGCAAACATACAAATGCTGATGTCAACATTTCTCTAGAAATGATTCCCGTAGTATAGATAGCGTTGAACAGTTCTACTATTATGTCCAGGTTTATCTCGTTGACCTACTTTAGTAGCTCGCTTGGTAATTCATCTGGACCAGCAGATTTATTGGTTTTCATTGAGTTTAATGCCTGACTAACCTCTGATTTGGTTATCTCTGGACCTACATCTCCCGTTTGGCTATCTACAGATGTACTAGCTTCTCTATGGTCATGAAATAATTCTTCGATGTACTCTTTCCATCGTCGTAGTTTTTGTTCTGTTTCCAATATAATATTTCCATTTTTGTCGAGCAATATATTTGCGGTTCTTCTATTTCCTACTCCGGCTAGTTCTTTGACTTTTTTATGTAGGTTGAAGTTGTCATATCTGTTTTGAAGTTCTTGTATTTCTTTACATTTTTCAGAGAAGTAGGTCTCTTTAGCCTCCCTAATTTTTCTTCTTATTTGGTTTTGAAGCTGTTTATAGCGCGTCTTATTGATGGTTTTGTTTTTTCTCCTTTCATTCATCAACTCTAGAATTTCCTCTGTCATCCATTCTTCTTTCTTATATTTAGTTGTTGTAAGTAGTTTCTTACTTGGCTCCAATATAGAGGTTTTGAAGAATTGCCACTGCTGCTCTACGTTGCAGTTATTTCCTGGGTTTCTGTCTAGATTTGTGTTGATTTCATGTTTCAGATTTTCTTTTGTTTCTTCTGACTTTAGTTTCTGTATGTTAAGTTTATTGTTATTGCGGCTTTTTTGTGTCTTTTTTAGTTGAAGTTGAAATCTAGCAATAAGAAGACTATGATCAGAAGATACGTCCGCTCCTGGATATGCCTTTACTGCCTGAATTGAGTTTCGATATCTGTGTTTTATTAGGAAGTAATCAATTTGATTTCTGACGATTTTGTTGTCTTTGTCAGCTGGCGATTTCCATGTATAAAGGCGTCGCTTAGCTAATTTAAAGAATGTATTTGCGGCTATAACATTGTGCTCCTGGCAAAATTCTATTAGGCGATCCCCTCTGTCGTTTCGTTCACCAAGCCCATAGTTTTAATTACGTTTAATATTTGTGAAGCAGATTTACAAAAACTTGTTTTCCTCACTTTAATTACGTACTCGTTTGCTTTTAATTGGCATCCACTATTAAACTGATTACCTTGAGTAAAGCAAAATATCTTTATATATAAAACACAGAAAACTTTGTTTTCAAACTTCCACAAAATTTCCAAAATGAATTTCCATCAAGTTACGGTCGAATCCGTCAAATCTTTATATATCTTTATATATAAAAACCTCGTGTCACAGTGTTTGTTCAAGCTAATAACCAAAAACCACTGAACCTATTGCAATAAAATAAATAGGCCTTATTTTTTTAATTGTAAATTCAAAATGTTTTATACTTCACCTCTACAGTTTTAGTTCATTTGATCCATGTAGTTATAAAATATCATAAAATGGCGTTTAACTTTTTTTGATAATAAATCGAGAACGACTGAATCGATTTACTTATAATAATTTACAGTTGTTGAGTTGTGCCAAATGTAGGCAACTTACAGTTGTTGAATGCAATGCTGAAATATCATTTCACTTAATATTTCCTTAAACTAATGAATAAAATTCAATATTATATTATTGAATATTAACATCGTGAATTCAAAGAAAAGATTATAAATAAATTTCAGTATTTTCTCAATATCTCTATCTTTTATTTAAGGTTTTTTTGAAACCGGGTCGGCAGTAAAAATCACCAATCTCGTAGTTCCACCAGTGACAGACACCAATCGGCCTGTAGTACTAGACTGCGATTATACATTAGATGCGGATGATGGTGGATTAGTTGTAAAATGGTACTTTAACAACCGGAATCTGGTTTATCAGTGGATCTCAGGACACCCTCCAACGGCAATCGGTAAGTTATTTAGTCATTTACGAATAACTATTCGCACCAGGTTTGTTCAATAATCGGATATTCCTCGACCTTATCTCGAATTCCACATTTCGTTGCTTAAGTCGTTGCCGGTCAATCCGTCCTATACTCCAAGGCGTATCTGTTAAGTTGTTGGCTTATCACCCAACATCCTTTTCAGAGGACCCTGTCCCCCTTCCCGTCTCCTGAGTCAGGATCCCTGACCCTACAGTCCACTGGTTATTGATTACAAGATCTCCAGTAAGGTTGTTCAAGTTTGCCATCGTTTAACCGTGTGGTTATGAGACACTTCTTGGAGGTGAGGATAGTAATTAAGTAGTAGTGGCTAGAAGGGTTATCAGGAAGCAATACCTTGTATTGCGAATCACTCCTTTGAACTCTCTTGAAAGACTTATAATTTCGGAAAACGTTTCGCACAAACGCAGAGGTCGCACACCCACTTGATGGACAGAAATAAATTCATAAATCCAGTGACAAGATATTCTCTGAGTCCACGAGTGTAGCTCAGGATAGAAGCCGAAGGACAGAGAGGGTTTGTATGAAAAGAAATCAGGACACTCAGTAATGAGTAAACGACTAAAGATAAATTTTGACGGTATACAAGGCAACTATCGAACACGGTGATTAATTTAATCTTGCCCAAGTACTTTCGATCAATAGATCATCTTCAGGGGCATCTGAAATAAGCCAAGAAACGTTTTTTATAAAAAAGGAAAATTAATTCACTTGGATAAAAAACTCCAAGTTTATGGTTGAAAAAATTTTATATGTGATAAACGTTTATAGACTTACTTCGTCAGTTGTGGCCTATCCGACATGAGTAGAATGTCATAAATGTAAATTTGGACATAACAATACAAAATACAATACACTAAGACAAACAAACACTTTAAAATTTTTGAAAAGGAGAAGCTACATGTTGTATAGAAGCCGGAGACAGAATAAGCTCTCGGTCTGACGGAAATATTGAGATGACATGTGACAAATGACAGCTTGTGAAGGGCAGTTATGTGATCTGCACCTTTCAAAATTCTGTGAAACTAAGTATTGACCAAAGGTCCAACTGACACCACCATAGGAAATCAACTGATGAAATATAAAATTATATAGTATATTTTTTATGTAGATTGAATAATCCAAATCTCACACTCAAACCTGTCTATAATAATTAGGATGTTAGTTTGAAAGCAATTGAAGTTGACATAAAGAATGAATATAAGAAAAGACTAAACAATATATTAGACAGTGGATGGTTGACTACAATAAAATGGTCCACCAACCGCTATCAGTACTGTAAAAATTAAAAATCTGAATATGCAGTTAAATTACTAAAAGTTAAAATCAAAATTGAAGACAAAATATATAAATGGGTTATAATCCAAGTAGTTCAGTTGAATCCACGGTCAATGGAAGAACTTTAAAATTAATATTGAACTGCTCAGTGCATGAAGTCTAAACAGTCGAGCTGGGTTCTCTACGAGGTGAAGCTGTAATAAAGTTTTTAAATATAGGATTAAATTTAGTACAATTTAAATTAATTTGAGTATTAAGACAGTGAGAGTTTTCATTTGTTTTCCTTGTAATCTCTAAATCCTCCAATAAATCCAACTCAAGATAGTTTTTCCTTCTACTAATGTCATGTAAGATAGATAGATAGAGATAGAGAGATAGGAAAAAGATAAATTATTTACCAATTCTAATAGCAGCTATTTCAGTGTCTCTATATTTTGATATAACAGCCAACCACTGCAATAATACGTAGTTTTATTTACTTGCCTGACATTTTTTTACGATGATTTTAGAATCCAATTATTTTAGGTATTCTGAAGAGACGTTTAAATATCAACTACAAAGCTGATCCTGCAGATCCAAATAAATACCACAGAGCACTTTTTATTTCTAATCCCACATCCGAGCTTTCAGGAAATTATACATGTCATGTGTCGACTTTTAAATCAGAAGATGTACAAACAAAACCATTGATAGTTCTAAGTAAGTACTCATAATATGTATCTAAATTTGTTTCCTTATGGCATCAGAATTTATCACATACTAGTGATTTTGCCAGCCACCAGGTGACGGTGGATCCAATTAATTGCATCTACAATCACGCCACTTATTTTTTTTGTCTTTCTCCTATTTAAAGCTAGGACCACAACAGAATAATATTTTAAACTGTTCAACTGTACAACTTCTTGCGTAAAGTCGTCTTATGAAATCGGTCTACGTATAAACCCAGGGTAATTCTAGTTTGGTAATTTATTTGTTGGGAAACTTCGAGTTTTATATTATATTTTTTACCGATCACTAAACTCACAGCCAATTTTTTAGGATCAACAAAATTTTTAAAAGAAATAAAAATTAAATTTTTAAAATAATAAACTTCTTGCATGAAACTGCCGATCGTTTCACCTCTAAATAATTATTGTCTTATCTCACAGAGAGTTATAAACATTTATTTATAAAATAAAATGTACCAGTCTTTTCACATCAAATTATGTTGCGATTATTTATCTGTAAGATTAATGTAAAATTTATTTCGGAATACACCAATATTTAATTAATTGTCAAAAAAATAACAATAATGTTTTAATATCTCTTTTGATTATAAAATTTGTGGTGGCAGTGTAGCATTTTCAATTTCATTGATTCTTTTGAGTATATTGAAACCTCCTCGTATAATAAAATATATTAAAAATTCCTTATATATTTTAAAAAAATGAAACGAAGAAGTTTTCCGTGTTGTTAGTTCGTATCTTTCAAAGTACCCAAAAGTGTTTCGTCGCCGAGTAATAAAACCATTTGAGAGTTGTTTATTTTACTTCGGCAATTTCTTTTCAATTTTATGCGTCGCAAAGGATATCTACGTCGTTCGTTGGTTTTGCTATGTCAAGTGTTTGTTTATTTTCAAGTTAAGCGAAAAAATTTTTAATTTCGTTACTCTCGTTGGAGCCGCGATCAAGAGCGGTTCAGCGTTATGTCCACATTTATGTCGAGTTTGTAAAATTTTCTGTTTTTGCCCCTTTTCATAGAAAATGTGTAGCAATGTGAAGTTAATGGTTCAGTAAATGTTTAAGTGAGGATTGGAAGAATCGTCGTTTCCATCCTCGTTTTGTTTCTCCCTGGTTATCATCCAAGGCTTTTGGCAGTATGGAGACATATTTGTTCGAGATATGGAGATAGATAGTTGTGTTCATTGCACAGAGAGTAAAGCCCTCAGTTCCAGTTATGGTTTCGGATATTCCAGTGGCGTCTGGTTCCACAAATTCTAGTGCATTTTGTTAGTGAAAATCCAGGTAACTTTTTGATCAAATTTTAAAGTAAAGACAGACAATTTGTTTTAAATTAAATAATTGCTTTCGTTGAAATTTAAAAATTGTTACATTTAAAATTGTAAATTTTAGGTTTTGAGTTGAGCTGTCAATTTGTGTGTTTAGTTTTTTTTTTGAAATTTAATGTTAACTTATGACAGCTCGTTTTTTATTATTTTTTTTTTTGGTTATTAGTTTGTTTTATTTTTAAACAAGGTTAACCTCCATATAAATTTATAGTTTTATGTAGTATCTCCAACTCCTGGAGTTTGTAAGCGGATGACACGTAAGTTTTTGTATTTTATATTTCTCCATTTTGTAACTGTTTGTGGTGACACATAAATAAATGTTAAATTTTGTTGTCTTAACATTTTATTTATTTTTTTTTTGAGCTAACCCTTTTTTGATTTTTTTTTGAAAAAGATATGTTTTTGTTGTTGTATAATTATTTCCCTAGTTACAACTATTATGATTAGGCACCGCAAGATATAGGCAAGGCCCTTTATTAAATTTCTTTTATCTCTTATTTTGTTTATCCCAAGAGATTAATGACTCCATTATTTCATTTTTTTATAGTTGCCCCATTCCACCCCCCTTATCTTTTACTTATCCACGACCCCAGCTCTCCTACCAAACCCTGAGTGCCGTTCGCACAAGTAGCCCCTTAGCTTCTTCCCCCAATTTTCTACCCCTTATATTAATGCCCCCTGTGGTAGGCAAAATATTTTCGTTACAGCAGGAATAAACTAAATTATGCAAAGAAAAATTTTATAACGAATAAAAAAATAATACATGTTTAATGAGTCTTCCTAAGTTTTGCTATAACACTAAAATATTATATAAGGTTAGCTCAAACATCTTCAACTTCAAAAAGTTCAGTAATGTCTTCATTTAGCAATTCATTCTCAAAATTGTCTTAATTTTAATCACTCGCTAGGTTATACTCGTAGAATGTTACTGTAGATTAGAACGGTTGAATTTTTTCAGCCTTATAACCACTTCCAATAGATGAAATAGTACTTAAACCTTCTCGACCATACATAAGTTATGTTGCATATCTGGTTCTAATATGAGATTCATTATAGAAATTGGATTGCTTAGTAAACTTCCTACCAGGAACCAGATATAATAAAACACATTAAGATAGGACGTCTGAGGTGGGTAGGCCATGTAATGCGGATGGAGCAAACCAACCCAGCTAGAAAAACGCTCCTTGATAGACCTATTGGTCAAAGAAGAAGAGGAAGACCCAGAATAAGATTCCTAGATAACATAGACCAAGATATGAGAAATGTGAAAATACATTCTTGGCGGAGGAAGGCGATGAATAGAGACGACTGGAAGAGAATTATTGGGGAGGCTAGGACCCACAAAGCAAAAATGATGATGATGATTACAATATTTTCTCAGAATATAAATCACTGTCAGTTTACTTAATCTTAACCTTTTAAAAAAGTCTTTCATTACACAAATTTAAATGTTCAATTCTGGATCAAATATTATATTCTCGCACTAAGTTTATAAACATTAAGGTTGATCTGCACCCCCCAAAAAATAAACTACAAATTCAAAAAACTTGAAAAAAATTGAGAAAGTATATGTGACAATTAAAAGTATTTTGACAAAGTTTGAACAAACTTCATGTTTTCGTTTTCGAAAAAACTCTAAAAAACTACTTTTTTCCAAGTATAAAGCGGGAAAACCAGACGTACAATTTTGATAATTTTTTTTACAGCATAAAGATATAAACCTAAGAAATACTTATGAATTTTTTGAAAATTTTTGAATTTACAGTTTTGTCACTACGGGAAAAAATGTTATGTTCCGGCTTATAATAAAGCTACCGGTAAGAAACCGGAAAAAATTTTAATAACAACATATATAAAACTGTAAAAGTGGAATATATTTGCAATAAAACGTTGAATATTTTTTCCTAAACATATGAAAAATCTCGTTAAGGTTGATCTGCACCCCCCAAAAAATAAACTACAAATTCAAAAAATTTGAAAAAAATTGAGAAGGTATATGTGACAATTAAAAGTATTTTGACAAAGTTTGAACAAACTTCATGTTTTCGTTTTCGAAAAAACTCTAAAAAACTACTTTTTTCCAAGTATAAAGCGGGAAAACCAGACATACAATTTTGATAATTTTTTTTACAGCATAAAGATATAACCCTAAGAAATACTTATGAATTTTTTGAAAATTTTTGAATTTACAGTTTTGTCACTACGGGAAAAAATGTTATGTTCCGGCTTATAATAAAGCTACCGGTAAGAAACCAGAAAAAATTTTAATAACAACATATATAAAACTGTCAAAAGTGGAATATATTTGCAATAAAACGTTGAATATTTTTTCCTAAACATATGAAAAATCTCGTTAAACAATAATTATATCTTGAATTGCCGGCATCAAATTGTATACTAGAGAGGTGGCTCCATCTCAAACGTTGGTAGTATTTATCATCGATAGATTGCATTACTTTCGGCCTCGAAAAGCTTCAAGCGAATCGTCATACTAGCAGGGTTGCCATATCAATTATTTTGTACAACACTTTGACAAATTACAACAAGATTTAATAAGAATGTTATCGGTTTGAATGAATTTTATTTGGCATGCTAGAACTTACAGAACAGTAGATACTGTACTATACCATCTACAAGTAATATATCTATAAAAAACGTATTTAGTTTCTAAAAACCTATTTGGGCGTTTTTAGTTAATTATTTTAGTATTTATAAACAATAGTCTTGCATAACGTATTAGTGATAATTTTTATATTACAATATAAACATTAGTTATTCTTAAGTAATTCACATTTGTCAACTTGTATTTTAAATCTTGTTTCTCTTAATTTCTCAAAAATCTTCTTAAGATTTACCATATGTTCTTAAAGTGAGGTTGAAAATGTCCCTGTAGACTAGATATATTTCGCCTGTAAGTCTTTTTAGTATGTTCTCCATTACCTACTCTCTAAAATGTTGAGGGTGCAGGCATTCATAGTGGCCATTTTCAACGTTAAGTCTTCCAGTTAAGTTCCCTTAAATTATGCAGTCTTCCAAATATCTTCTTCCTTCATTTTAATTTGATGTAATCCGCTGGCTACAACTGGGTGGAAAAATATTTGCAGCGACCTAGTTTGTACAGAATGTCTGTTATATTTGGAATTGGGTATAGACCATCGATGGTTTTCTTGTTCACCTTCCTGTAGTCGACAACTATTCTCCATTTAATTTTTCTTGGGCATCTGGTTGCTTTGGAATGACCCACATTGGGGACGACCAGGGCAATTGTCTCAGTTTGATGATTTCTTGATCGATCATCCTTATGGATGTGTGGATACCGATTTGACTTGGTGTAAACCGGAACTTCATCTCTTGTTCGTATATGATGTTTTATTTGATTAGTAAATGTTAACTGACGTCTGAATAATGAAATATGCATGATGCAAACTTCCTGCACTGTCGTTTTCGGTAATATTCTTCTATTGTATTAAAATGATCGGTTCTTAGGAAAGGATTGACATCTCTTAGACATATTGGTTGACTTTTGATGGGATCCGTTATTGCTACTTGAATATATTCATCGGTGTTATTGACTAGCTCGGTCCAGGCAAGTTGATTATATGCGACGGTGAGAATTTCTCTTAGGATGGCACCTTCGACTTCTTGTTTTTGG